ATTACTTTGTCTTATCTTGTTTGACAGTTTAAAGGCAGTTTCATAGCATGTCAGCCATGTTTAGTACCCTCCCTAGTACCTTTGTCATACTGACTTAAGTCGGTTGCGCCTCTCTGATAAATCTAGGACTCTAACTATACTTACAGAAAAACGGATAGACCAATCAGAACTCGTGCTGGTAGTCGCTGGTTTTGGCTTTCTGTACTGCTTACTATCAGCACAAGTGCTTTGATTGGCTGCTACTTTTCTGTTTTTCTATCGAGGTCTGTACCCACCCTAAAAATTAACCAATCAGAACAGAAAGTTTTTGACAATTCTAGACTGTGATTGGCTAATTCTTACGGTACATCTTGCGGTTACTGTTAGGCCGGAATTAGACTACGCATTGAAGATTGAGATTGAAGATTAAAATTTGACCAATGAAGACAAAGAAATTTTAGCTCTTATTGTTTTGATTGGTCAAATTTCAATCTTTCAATAAATAAAAGAAGGGCAATTATACTGTAAGAGCCAATTATACTGTAAGATATTTAATAATCGTATATATACAAACGTTTCGACACCGATCGGGTCATTTTTAATGTAAAACAACAAACATTCTTACATAAAATATTGGAAATTCAGTCAAATTATAATGTCCAGTAAAAAGTTCGGTTATATTCATAAAATGCGGTCCATATGTAAAATATCAAAGGAGATCTCATCTTACTTTTCATAATTCTACAATCTCATAAATAAATAATACATTAACATTGCGTTATAGTTTAAATTATCGATGTACATTTATAGTAAATTAAATTAAAATGCAAATTAAATAATACATATATACCTTATATTGTTCGTTTGATTTTAAATTCCACCTTTTTTATGTTTAATAACAAATTTTACAAACAGATTTTTGGTACTCCGATGGGTTCTCCTTTATTTCCAATTGCTGCGGATATAGTCATGCAAGATTTTGAAAGAATAGCAATTGAAAAATTACCTGTTAAGCTCTTATTTTATTTTCGATATGTGGATGATATTATTTTAGCGGCTCCATCAGAGAGTATCAATGACATCTTAAATATTTTTAATTCTTTATATAGTAGATTACAATTCACTATGGAGGTTGGCATAGATGGAAAACTAAGTTTCTTAGATACTATGTTGATTGTGGAAGATCAAACTCTAGTTTTTGACTTATATCACAAAGCGTTTTCTGGCAGGTTTCTAAATTTTAATTCACACCATCCACTTTATCATAAGAGGGGTGTCATTTACAGTTTGGTCGACAAAATTATACGGTTATGTCATCCACGTTTCCAGCAAAACAATTTGATTAAGGCAATAAATATTTTTTTAAATAACGGTTATCCACTAGATTTTATTTTTTCTTCAATTCAAAAAAGAATAAAGTTCCATATTAATAAAAGTGGAACGGTCGAGAAAAAGATCAAGGAGAAATTTTTCACGATTCCTTACGTGAGTTCGGTGTCGGAAAGGTTTGCTCCAATTGCTAATAGGTGTCATTGTAAATTGGCCTTCTCGATACCAAATTCATTAAATAAATTTATTAAAAAGGGCAAAGATCAATTAGATCCCTTATGCAATCAAAATGTAGTTTACAAGATCTCTTGTGATGACTGTGAAGCCAGTTACGTGGGTCAGACCAAAAGACAACTAAAGACAAGATTACACGAACATGTCTCCAATATTAATAAGAAGTCAAAATCTCCAACAGTGATCACAAGTCACCGCATTGACCAGAATCACAATTTCGACTGGGACAATGTGGAAATTTTAGATAGAGAAGCTTCCTTTAATAAGAGATTGATATCGGAGATGGTTCACATAAAACGACAAACTCATGGGCTAAACAAACAAAATGACACAGAATCTCTGCCAGAATCATATCTAAACATTATCCAATCTCTTTCCCCCTCTTAACATTGTCCTTTGTCTCCTTCCTATTATCTTTCCTATTTCTTTGTTTCCTTTTTGTCATAACGTCGCTTGACATCGTGGAGTATAAATGTCACATCCAATTGTATTATGGCTTACTTTTTATTAAATATAACTTTGTTAATTGCATTTTCCTCTCGGCGTCTATCTTACATCATTAAGACAATATAAGGTATATATGTATTATTTAATTTGCATTTTAATTTAATTTACTATAAATGTACATCGATAATTTAATCTATAACGCAATGTTAATGTATTATTTATTTGTGAGATTGTAGAATTATGAAAAGTAAGATGAGATCTCCTTTGATATTTTACATATGGACCGCATTTTATGAATATAACCGAACTTTTTACTGGACATTATAATTTGACTGAATTTCCGATATTTTATGTAAGAATGTTTGTTGTTTTACATTGAAAATGACCCGATCGGTGTCGAAACGTTTGTATATATACGATTATTAAATATCTTACAGTATAATTGGCTCGTTGCCCTTCTTTTATTTATTGATTTATTCTAATTGAGCTCTAATTAAAATGAGAAATATTAACAATTATTTCAATCTTTCAATCTTCAATTTCAATATTCAATGCGTAGTCTGATTTCGGCCTTATAGAAGTGCGGCAGCTTATTAAGTGCAACCTTATAGAAGTGCTTATATAGTGCGGCAGCCCTAAGGCCGGAATCAGACTACACATTGAATATTGAGATTGAAGATTGAAAGATTGAAATTTGACCAATCAAAACAATAGGAGCTAAAATTCTTTTGTCCTCACTGGTCAAATTTTAATCTTCAATCTTCAATCTCAATCTTCTATGCGTAGTCCGATTCCAGCCTAATGCCCGTGTCACACTACGCATTGGAGATTGAGGATTGCGTATTAAGGATTAGAATTCGACCAATCAGG